GGGGGTGATATATGTACCATAGTCCATAATGATAACAACAGATGTTTCTTTGGACTATTGGTTCTATTTGAACCTATTAGAAGAACAAAGTCTCAAATATTTAAAACATATCTACTCGATAAGTATAATGTGAGTGAATTCTTAAAAGGCTCTAATATTTCTCCATTTGATATTCCAGATTCAAGGTCGAATCCTTTTGAAGAGAGAGAGGATGATACATACATCACAAGTCTCACATCAAAGAAAGATAGACTAAAGCTTCTAAGTGATCCACACGACAAAGCATTGGAAAAGAATAACGATAACAACAGACTTGAAACTACTTTTTTAAATGCGATTCTGATGTTATTTCGTGAACATGTCTCTGGAATTATGTCCAAATGTCTCTTAGCTTTCCAACAGTTCCTAAATCACCTCAATCTGATATCAAGAACTCAAGATATGCCTATTTTAGTGAAGACAACACGTGTAGAAAATCCTATACGGTATTAATACGAGACTTTATAAAGAATACAAATTTTTTTTAATATTTTTATTGATTATTTGTAATATAATTTAATATGGGACATATCCATCTATTTTCCATCTCCATAAACTATCATCTTCTTCCTCCATCTTCACGCCAACTTTCATCTCAAAACCCTAGGGTTTGTGTTATCCTCATACTTACCAGGGATAATTTTTCAATTCAGTTTTTACTAAGATCTGACCTACACAATTTTAAGTCGTCTTCTTTATTGTAACCCTTATCTCGTTATATTTCCAACGAGTATTCATCCATCAAATTCCATCAATAACAACCCTTGTCGCCCATCATAAGGGAAGATTATTTCATTACATGTTTTGTCTTTTAGTCTATTTCATTACCCTTGTTTTTCCTTTGTCCTAATTTCATTAGAATTCTACTACCTTTGTTTTTAATATCTTAACTTATTTTTCTTTGTCTTAAATTCAGCAAATCAAAACCTAATCCAAATACCTTACCGTCACCCACATCCCCTTTGCATCCTCTCATTCTTTGATTGAGTCTAAAGCTTTATAGGTTTAATTCCTCGACAAAAAGCAATGTTCATCATCCGTTGCCACTTATCTATCACCTGGGATTCTTAAGCTGTTAGAAATACCCAAGGTTCAACCAAGTGTAAGATTTTTCTTCCCCTTAGTCTTGGAGCTTTGTCAAACTTCTCTCACTATGTAAGAATCAAACACATGGATTACTAACGTTGTTAGGAAGTTTAGAGAATGTTCCAAAAAAATTTCATGAGACTTGAATCCCTTAAAAACGAACTGGATAACCAAGGTTCTCATAAACCACCACAAAATTCATATTTGGTCTTCTTAACCAAAACTTACCAAAGAGGGCTTGAAATGAAACTTGGGAGAATGAGATTAAGATTCCTCCCTTGATGTTGTTGGGCAAGGCTTGCAATGGAATAAAGCTCATACCTTTCTTAAGATGCTATGGAAGAGGGAGTTTGAATGTATGAGGAAGAAGAGAAAAGAAATGGTAAAAATGAGATACGAATGAGAGTTTTCAAACATGAAGGCATCACCCGTAATGGGTTTTCAACCTTTGAAATATAAAAAAGGTGAAATTTTACTTCTGTCCAGTTTTACATTTACCTAAAAGACTTTATTCTCGTATAAAAAACTAAAAGCACACTTTTAAGTTGAGTTTTACTATTGCATCCATATTTTACCTCCTAAATCAAGGGCTAAACATTACTTCTAATTCTATTTGTATTTTACTAAAAATATAATTATAAATTTAATTTATTAACGATTAATCAATGATTAATCATTTATCAAAATTTGTAATCGTAACTAAAACCTTAATCGTTAGCCATTATTTTTAGCAGTTTGATTAATTGAAACATTTTACTATTAACAATTCGATTAATTAACTTATCAAATATAACGATTACATTGGTTAACAATTACGAGTCATTTTGAACACCTCTCGTTAAAATAATTCAATAATTATAGAAGGATATTTTTTACAAAATAAAATTTGCGTAATTTACATATTTAGTTATATAATTCTTGTAGTTTTGGTTTAGTTGTTTAACTCCTTTTTTTTTTTTATATAAAATCATAATTAAAGTTACGTCTTAGTTTTGTTTTAGTCATTTAATTTTAAAAAAATTAACAGTGATGATGTTGTGTCACTATAAAGTATTCTTTGGGAAAAAATAACATATCATTAATTCTATTTTTAATAATGTGTGATTAAAATAGAATTAAAATTTAATTTTACAAATAAAAATAATTAAATAACTAAAAAAGAACATCCAAATTAATTAAATGACTAAATATCTAATTTACTCATAACATTTTGGGCGAAGCTTATGCCTATGAATGTTTTTAGGTTTCCATTTTAGTCATTTTCATTAGGTAAAACAATGTATGTAATACTTAAATTATTAGTTTTGGTTCATTTTAGTATCTAAATTTTTAATTTTTCAAAATAATACCTAACGTTTATTTTTAATTTCATTTTAGTACCTCGTTAAAAACTTAACGTTAAGTTTTTTAAAAAACTAATCACATCCCAAATTAGGGAATTTTTCTTAATTTTAATTTCATGGATTAAATTGAAATTTGATTATAGTTTAGGGACCAAAACAAAACTTTAATAAATTTTATGTCAAATTTAGAAAGTTCTAAAATTTGGAGGACTTGTGGTAAGTGCCTTATAACGCTTTAAAATAATTTTTAGAAATTTTTAGAAGTTGTTTCTCTCCCATCTTCATCGCACACACTGTTGCTGTGCGTGGGGATCACCCACCGCCTCGTGGATCGCCTTGAAGACCCGATCTGATCCATACACCCATATGGCCCAAACCCAACCCAACCTAACCGATCCAACCAAATCGGTCCATTTATGAATCAGATCGAACCCGTCCAACTGAACTGAACCGAATCGAGTTGAGTTGAGTCAAGCCATACCGAGCTGCACCTCATTGAGCTGTCGACTTTAAACTTTGATAGTCATCGTTAACTATTAATCGACGTTGACTTTGACCGTTGATCGTTGTTGAATTTTTTTTAAAACCTTTTTCTTGATGTTTTTCGTTGTCTTTAGTTCGATTATACGATTCATTTTGTCAAATTCTGACCCAAAATCCCCAAATCAAGCCCATTAGTTTGAAAAAACTTAGTGTTTTTAGCATATCTACACTTTTATTCAGGATTTGATTATGGAATTAATCTGAGATTATATTTTAATGAAGGCACACGACATACCCCTGACCAAGAGTCGTCCAGGTCTGACACTACCCCTCCCCCCGCAGATTCATCCTATCCAAGTTCTTTGAGAGCCACATATAGGTTTATGAAGATCGTTTCATTAAAGTTTATTTATTTATTTTACGTTAGAATTTTTTAGATACTTTTTGGATTTATAGAATCTAACACTGCCGTCAATCGTGGTAGACGAATACGGGAGTAAGTGACCATCCCAAACTACTCAAATTGGTTCAGGTGTGTTCTTATTGGTGTTACAATACTGTTTTGATTATCTGTCTTAACTGTTTAAAAATTCTGATTTTATATTCCGACTGCATGATATATGAATTATCGAATGCTCCTACCATGACTCTAGTTACCATATTTATGTATATGATTCTGATAAATGACTTGTTTTAATAATTAAATAATTTAAATTACTATTTTTACTCAAATACATGTATATTTACTATCATTAAGGGGTATGATTGGATGAAGTATCTCAGGCTTAGTCTATGACTTGTAAGACCTTACCACGGGCTCCTCTTGCTTTGTGAACAGGGTAAGTCCTTACCACAAGCCCTTATGCTATTAGTATAATATCCTTACCGAGTGTATAAGTGAGTGTATGGTTCAGGGGAACTTACATTTTCTAGTGTTTGGATGGGGGTAGTGTTCATGTTTTCAATACTTATTTTATATGTAACTTTTACCGAAGTATTTTATTTGTATGCTTTTATAAAGTGTAAGGAGAAAATTGGGCTTTTAGCTCATTCTTCAATTCTTTTAACTTTTCAGATACTACTCGACAGTAGGCTAGCAGACTTGGCATCAGGATGATTGATTATTCTCTGTTTTGTATCTTTGTATATTTCTACACGCCTCTTCTATTATATTTTGGGAGACACGTGTTTTATTACTGTCTACGTATCTATATTACTGATATTTTGTATCCCGGTATCCTTATCACTGTAAATTTATCGTATGGATTCTTATGAGTTATTTTCAGTATTTTACCTTGCATGGTCATTATTTACTGAAATATATTTGGATTCATTTTAAATATGAAAAGAATTTCTAAATACGACATGTGCTCTTCTAGATTCGATCGTAACTCCCAGGCTGAGTCTAGGGGTTATATTTGCTGGTATCAGAGCTTTTAATTTTAAACACTTGAACTGTGGACGAGTCCTAAATATTGTATTTTCAAAGATTTTCTAATATTTTCAAATACCATGTCACCTTATATATAGAGTTTTTAAATAAATTTAAGATTTCTGATGCTAGTCTAACTTAGGTTCGAATTTCTTCTTTATAGCCTAGTAGATCCAATCCAATCAGCGCTCAAGGTCGTAGGCTAGGTCATGGGTGAGCGATCCAGCCTTCTGTATATTTTGAGGATCAAATGTTAGAGTGAGATCCTCCTACTCCGTGTATTCATCATTCTACTTACTGAGAGGATCTGGTTACACCTACTAGAAACCCTCTTGTTTCTAAGGATGAGTATTTTGAGTGGATCAGAGTGTCATTGATAGAGCTGTTTATCGTATGTTTCTGAGAGCAGCTAGAGCTCTAGATAATATATTTGCGATGGATATATCTACGTCTCTGGTGGCTACTAGAGTAGTTTTGTTTAAGAGCATTACTGGGTGAACTTCGAGGGATGCCAAGTACTAGTTGGATGACACCGAGAGGACTATGGATGAAATGGAGCGCATGCCTGAGAAGAATTTGAAGGGAACACTAGCTTTTTTCAAGATAAAGACATTGAGATGGTGTCGTTCGATTGCCAGGAGTATCCAGGTGGATCAGTTAACTTGGGATTTTTTAAGGAACATTTTCTGACTCATTGCATTGGGGAGAGATACTTACAGGAGAGATGTCATGAGTTTCAGATTTTGGAGCAGGGTGATATGTCTATTATGGATTATGAGATTGAGTTCATCAGGCTGAGTCGTTATGTTCTGGGGTTGGTGGATAACGAGGTAAATCGGTGCTTGAGGTTTGAAAATAGATTGAGGTATGAGATCAGGGATTGGGTTTCTACCCACTGAGAGAGGAAATTTGACACCTTGGTTGAGATAACCAATACTGCTGAGGAGATCGAGTGAGTGGGTCTAGAGCATATGAGGGACTGAGACGGAGGCACAAACTGAGATAGAGGCAGAGAATGAGATAAAGACTGATTAAGGAGACCTTCTGGTTCTAGTGATGTTTCCGCGTGCCCCAACAAGAGAGGTAGGGGTGAGTTATCATAGAGGTGGTGTGAGGTCGAGGCCTGCAGCATCAACGACTCTAACAATTCCATCTTCTAGTCAAAGTGGTTCTTAAGGAGTACCGCAAATGCCCACGTGTGAGTATATTAGGAGACGTCATTTTGGAGAGTAAAGGAAGAGGATGAGGACTTGTTTCGGGTGTGGTTCCGACGACCATTTCTTGAAGGATTATCCAGAGTTGGCTCATACTGCCCAAACATCAGTTCAGACTCTTGCCCATACTCAGAGTATAGTTCATACTCTAGTTGGGGATCGTAGTCAGTCGAGAGGATCTGGATCTGATAGTAGAGGTCGACCTTCTTATAGTAAGGGTACATATCAGACTGAGGCCAGACAACCTATGTTAGTTTATGCTGCTAGACGCCGACAGGATTATGATGAGCCTAATGTGATGCAATTATTGTTACTATTCATTTAGCTCCATACTTTGCTTTATTTGATCCTAGAACTACTCGTTCATATGTATCGCATTCTGTATATGGTTTTTTTGACATCCCAGTTGGGAATATCGAGAGTCATATGATAGTTCTGAGCCTCATAGGCCAATATATTAACATACTCTGGATTGTTAAAGGGTGCCCTATAGAGATCTATATGGAGATCTTTCTGGTGGATCTTATGGATTTGTCATTAGAAGAGTTTGACTTGATTCTTGGTATGGATTGGCTGGATGAGCATCAACTTAATATCGATTGTGATACCAAGAGAGTTGTCCTAAAGACTCTTTATAACGTGAGGATAGTGATGATTGGGGAACAATGTGGGTTCCTAATAAATATCATTTTAGCCTTGGTAGTTAAAAGAATGATCAAGAAGGGTTCTAAGGCGTTCATCGCTTATATTTTGGTTACCAGGGGTTCCCGATCAGAGATAGAAAGAATCCAAACCGTTAAAGGATTTCCCGATGTATTTCCTGAGGAGTTACTTAGTTTGCCACTAGATAGAGAATTTGAGTTTGAGATTGAAGTTTATTCTGGTTCGACTCCTGTTTCGATGGCTTCTTATCATATAGCCCCTAAGGAGCTTAAGGAACTGAAGGTTCAACTCTAGGAGTTGTCAGATAGGGTATTTATTTATCTCAAATTTTTATCGTGGGGTGCTCCGGTTCTCTTTGTCAAGAAGAAAGATGGGACATTGAGACTCTTATTGATTAGAGGAAGCTAAACAAGCTCACAGTTAAAAACAAATATCCTCTTCCCAAGATAGATGATCTATTTGACCAATTCCAGGGGGCTTCCATCTTTTAATAGATAGACTTGAGATCTGGTTATTACCAACTCAAGGTGAAAGATTCTAACGTCCCTATATCGCTTTTCGTACTTGATATGGGTATTATAAGTTATTGGTGATGCCATTCAGGTTAACCAATGCCCCTACTACTTTTATAAACCTTATGAATAGGGTGTGTAATACCCATAGACCGATGCAGGTGACCCGATCCGATTTGAGGTGTCACATTAGGGCCACCAGAGCGACCCACAGTAAAAATCTCGAAAAAATTTAAAATTTCTTTTAAGACATGTAAAATCATAAAATAATTTATAATTAAAATACAAGCTCGGAAAACCATTCATATATTACAAAAATAATTAAAATCATACACGTTTCAAACTCAGATATAAAAACAAAATACCACCTACATGCCCCTAAACACATGAATCATACCCCACAAGTAACACCGGTGAAACTCCTTTACTGATGTCGATAGTTACAATAGTTCAATCATTTTAACCTAAAATAGTGAGTAAAATAGTGAGCTTTGGGAAGCTCAACAATACAAAACTACCAAATGATGCTGAAGGACATACAGATAATAGGTAAGCATAAAACTTCCTTATTGATTCAGACATCTACAGATTTTATGCTAAGCTGAGGTCCCACTAATATCTCAGGTAGTAAATGCAGAAAGCTTCCAGTTTAGAGTAAACGTTCGGAGGACTAGGTTCAGGAGATTATAATAGGGTGTCTAGTGTGTTCCCACAAAACCAGTGAAAATATACATATCTTTTTAAAATAGTAGCAGTTTAAAACGTATTTTTTTAAAAACATAGCAAAACTCTCCAACTGAACGCCAATATGCAGTTCCCCAGAACTGCATCCACAAAGGCTTACCCTAGGCCCCAAGGGCGTAGGTGTCAACCTAAGGGAACACCTTGGGTCTATAAGGTATTACCCTAGCTGAAGCATAGGTGCCCACCTGAGGGGAGTGCTCTCATGCCCATAAGGACTTACACAATGCACACAATAGATAAGTTACCCTAAGGGAGTGTCTTATGGTCCATAAGGTCTTACCACTAGGCCTAGGAGCCCAGCCTAGAGTCGCCTTATGTCCATAAGGAATTACCAGTCAGTGCTGAACCTATGCAATGAATTACCAGCAGCGACTGAACCTGCCAGAGTCTTCAGTCATACCAGAGTCCCAGAATACCCCATATAAAAATAATTTCAGTTAGTAAATAGAGGTATCAGAAATCATAGCATAGATCAAAGATCAGAACATATATCAAAGTTCAGAGAAGAAATCAAAGGTCAGACTGTATTTCAGATAACATAGACATACTTTTAAATTCAGAGAAAACATCTGTGTGATCAAGGAACACACTAGATGTTCCAAATATTATTCGTAGGTACTTGATAATCTTATCGAGTAGGGAAATACAGATCTTTAATATACTGATAAAATGTCAAAAATTATGATCACTATCGAAAGGGTTCATTAGCTAACGGAATCATCAGTTATTCAGAACGTGATTTATCAGGATAATATAGTATTCAGATATTTTTCGGAGGCACTATGTAATCAAAGAGGTATTCAGAATCCTTTGCATAAGAGTTATTGGTGTTTTCATATATAACAAGAGTAATTCCATTATCTAAGAAATCAGAGGCAATTTAGGCATTAGGTTCTTGAAGAATTCTTAGTGATTTGAGTTGATAAAGGAGAAACAAAGATTCAGGGCATTTAATATTTGTGTCGATCTATCTGAATATCGAGTTAACTCAAACTGAACAAATCCCAGTACTGATACTTGTCAACCTGTCAAATCGTTGCACTTCAAGGATATTCACTCTTTAATATAGACAACTCTTGTCAAATTGGTCATCCTCAAAATCATCGCTGAATAGATCTTAGGGAGACGAACATATATTCCAATGGTCTTTATTTCACTTCTGCATTATAGTGATATCAGGAAATGTCGATGTGCTTGATTCGGGGTTCAAAACCCTTATGGATGGTACAACATATAAGATCGTCAATGTTCCAGACTTATCCAATTTATACGCTTAATTCAAGGTCATTGGGGTACTTAAATAAATTAGTATTCAAATTTATCCCGGTCCCTTCAGAGTTTCTAGAGTAATTCTATCAATTTAAAAATTTGAATACATTCAATACTTTCATTCAGTTCAACTTTGTCATTTCGAGAAATTCAGACGTGTAAGGTACTTTCGATAATTTAGCCTCTAGGTGTTCGCTCAAGAATTAGAAAATTTAAGTCTTTTATCATCTCAAATATCATGATCGATTAACATGATTATTTTCAATTTTTAGGAAAATCCTTATCTTTTACATCATATCGGTATTTTCATAGTTTCTTATCCAAGTATTTTCGACCTTTAGCCTTTAATGAGGTTAATTAGAATTTACAAGTCTTGAGATTGATTGATTTACTAATTAAATCACTGAACTTAGATTTGTTTCCGATCGGTCTACCAATTCCTTTTTCGAGTCGTCTGGGTTTTATACAATGTTCAGTCTTTATTCTAAATTCAGTTTGATTCCAATGATAATTAAATACATCTAATGAAGCAATTATTTTCATTTATGCATTTACCAATTATCAATGTGTTAAGGTAGTAAAGTATTACTGATCGCTTGTAAATGTATATGCTAAGGCAAGCAAATATGTGCAAGTATACACACTCGATTCAAGTAATATAGGGTAAGTGAGTATCGTCTCCTCAGGGATTGGTCGAGAAATTTATCTTCACCACAACTAGAACTAGTGGTCGCGAACTAATTCCTACTAGATTGCCAACTTAAAAACTAATATTAATAAAAACAAAAAAGTGATATAATGATTGCAGAAAAGTTTGGTCGAGACAAAATAAATATGCAGAATGCTGGAATGAAATAAAACAAAGACAAGTGTTGATTTAAATATAATACAAACAACCTCACATATTCAGACTTATCACAGAACACTTAATTACTCTAAGTCAAGAATGAATTATTATGACTTGCTTAAGCTGCCCGACAGGAATACTAGGTATTCTTAGACGGTTGCTATGGCAATACTCCTCAGCGTTAACTACAACCCTTGGTTTGTCAGACTGTTATCATAGCAATACCTCTTAGCGTGAACTATAGGCATTGTCCATCCTACTCTAGCATCTATCCCTTTTAGTCGATTGAAACCCGCTCCTTATCTCTAAGGTAGACAAGTTAGAACTTCACCATCCCGGATTCATTCCATTGTTCATGTAGATCTATCTTAATCCTCTCGAATCTAAGAATCACTATCTAGACAAAAGACGATCTCTTGATGCTCTTATAGTGCCAAGACATGTTTTACCAAAACCCTAGGCGATCTCTCGGTGCACTTACAGTGTTAAGGTAAAATATTTAAACAATGAACAAAACAATCATGAGTAAAAACATAATTCATCATTCATAAAACATAAAATAATTGTTTAGGCAAAACAAAGTTTAACACCAAGTAAAACCGGGGGCTCTATCGCGATAATTCTGATCAGTACCACGCTTGCCTTGGTGATCAGCCTCTCTCGAGACCTGATCACCGCTATACTACAGCCTGGTTATAGAGGACACCTAGGAAGGTTGGTTAGTGAATGGTGAGAAAGCACTGCAGTTGCTCGCTCACGTCTTAGGTAAAACTCTTCCCTATTCTTCTTTTTTTTTCTTGGCGGCTACGGCTGGTTATTTATAGGGAAGAATCTCCTAGGGCTTTGCATAATTTGGAGATTCCTTAAATAACCGTTGTTATCTTCCCAGGCTTAAAAATGAAAGGCGGCTATCATAATATTTAAGGCTTGCTTGCACGTGAAGTAGGTCATCCAGTTGTCGTGTGACATAGGCGGTTTCGTCATACCTGCTTCAGACTCTTCAGATAAACCTTGGCTCGGCGAGATAAATCTGCTCCTCATGTTCTTATTTGTTCCATTGGCCTTAGCAAATTACGTTTTCACGACTGAAATGTTTTTCTCTGTAAGTTTCTACACAAACACAATCCACACAACCCTTTCTCCTCAGCTGCATCAGTTAAAACAAATAAATCTTGCCGAAGCAAAACTTATCCACCACAAGCCCATATGCAACTAAATGCAACTAAAATGTTGTGCATACTTTGTTTAGATGAGCAATAAGTTAAGTGAAAAGACTAAAAATTGAGTCTTTTTATGGAGTTATCAATTACCTGGATTGTCGTACTCCACCGATCGAACATTTAATCTTCATTCGATCACTCTCAAACTTGAATTCAACGTCCAATAATTCCTCAGAAACTGAACTTAATTGAGAAACCAAATTGAATCCGAAGATAAAACATTGAAAAATAGCTTACCGAGTGCGAATTTGGCAAAACGGGCTTCGGATTCGGACTCAGGACGTTGAAAAACATAAAATAAGTTTTTCAAAAATTTTAACTTTTTTAGTCAAAGTCAACGGTCAGACCGGTCGGGTCAAAGTCAACGGTCAGACCGGTGGGGTCAAAGTTAACGGGCTGGTTGGGTCGAGTTCACTCGGTTCGGGTTGGGCTGGTTCAGGCCGGTCCAAACTATATGGACCGGTTATATAAGAAACTAGAGTGGAAAACGAGCCCCACACGCATGTAATGGCGCGTGACGATGGTGATGGGGTCGAGAGTGGCCCCCGATTACTCCAACACACAAAAAACACCAATTAATTCAAAAATCAACCAAAAATCGCAATAAATAACTTAAAATTAGATCGTAGCTTACCCACACCGACGAATAAGGAAAACAACAACAGTGAACGATGGCTTCGGGTAGGTTTTGAGCGCAAGATG